TTTTTTTTTTGTATGGGGGATCAAACTCAGGTCCCTGCGCTTGCAGAGCAGGCATCAGAACCACTGAGCTAAATCCCCAGCCCCGATTCCTGTCTATTTGAATCCCCCTTACTCCAAAGTGACTCATGAAAAGTTCTGGTGCCCATGGTCTCTAGGGACTGGGCCCCATGAGGAGCCGCTGTGGTCTGCTGGGGAAACCAAGATCCTCTTTTAGGATGGGTTTTTTTAAATGGAACCAACTCAAGAAGGTCATATTTTGAGGCTCCTGGAATGATATCAACAAGCTATCGGAACCACCCAGGCTCCAAATGGCCTCTGAAGAGATGCCCCGCACTCCCAACTTGAAGACGGCTGCCTTCCTTTCAGAAGGACTGGAAACACCCACCATCCAGGGCACCAGCACCCCAAAAGGGACAGTGATCCTGCTTCCCTAGTTGCCTATAACAATACCAGCAGAGACAGCGCCTTCCCTCCTTCCGTTTTTGTGGGAGTAGGAGACCCCATTGCACTGTGGGGCTGGTAGACACAGCACCCCGCCTGTCCCCCAAGTACTTGTTTTCTGCTGTTTTTGTTCTCTCACCGCTGTCCGTTTTGCTTTATGTCATTTCTCTTTGGCCCTTTAAGGTATGCCAGCGCCAACTGGACCACAGCCTCCCTCTTTTCAAGTACCTTGGAGGACCAAGCCAGAGATTGATAAAATACCAGGCGCTGTTGAAGGTAATGTTGTGGAGAATGCTCTTCAGGCTTGGGGAAACAGGCACCTGTGCTGTGAGCCCTGCTCCTTAGACCTGGGAGTCTGGTCTGGCCTCCTAAGGCTCAAGATCCGCCTGTCCTGTGGGCCTTTCTTTCCTCCAAAACAAAACCAGGGAGTTAGAAGGGGCTTGGAGCCAGTTACTCCCAAGTCTACCCCAGGCGTGAACATCCAGGAGCTCAGCTCAGGGGAAGAGAGACCAGGGCAGTGCAGGAGGGGTGGACAGTGCCACTTTACAGGCGGGGCCCAGTGCTCGGGAGGAGAGGTGAGGTTTCCCCAAATGCATCGTTTCTGTGCATTGAAACAGCAGAAGGGCCGCATGAACTCCACTGAGTCATTTAACCCCTCTCTGCCTCAGATTCCTCACCATAGAATTAAGATAGTGATTTCTGGTGTGGTTTGGGGAGCATTAAATGAGGTGATACAAGTTCAAGGACTTGGGAGGTTTTGTTAGCTGACTTTCAGGCAAGCAGGGGGTAGAATCGGTACAAAGTATCCCTTGTTGGTCTGTGGTGAGCAGACCGAGATTTTCTTTCCTAAGCTTGCTATGTACCTGGCAAAGTGCGGTCAAGCCACCGGGTCCCCTGAAGATAGAAGAACCGCACAGTACCCAAGGAATGAGGCTTAGAAAGGGATCATGAGATCTTGGTATGGGGAGATATTTCTAAATATAAAGGAAAGACAAAGGCAGAGGGTAGTGGCATACGCTTGTAATCCCCACACTCTGGGAGGCTGAGGCAGGAAGATCCTAAATTTGAGTCCCACCAGACAAACTAGTGAATTAGCTAGACCCTATTCCAAAATAAAAAATAAACAAAGGGGCCTGGGCATGTAGTTCCATGAGAACGCCCTGGGCTCGATCCCCAGTACCAGAAACAAAGAAACAAAACAAAGACTCGTGAAAATATCAGCCAAATATGTGACAACTGGTCAGCGTGCTTAATTACAATGAGCTCTTAGAGATCAGTAGTAAAAAGAGGAACAAAGGACATAGGCAGTCTACAAGGGAGTAAATACTCACAGCAAACATTTTTCTCAAAAATTTTACTACGGCTGCCTGGCAAGTACAAGATCCTGAGTTCAATTCCCAGTACCGGGGGGAAAAATTCTTTTACTTCATTAATTATCTGAGGAATTTAAATTAAAATGATGGTGAGGTAGGATTTCTCTGTTCATCTGAGCGGCAGAGATCCGCGGTTAAATGGTCGTGATCAACACAGGCCAGGGGCTGAGAGGCAAAATATGCTTCAAACGCATAGCATTTGCAAGTCTGCTTCTAGGAATTTATCCTTGGAGAAAAGGCTCAAAGTTTTTATTAGAGTAAAAAATGATCACACCTAAGTATTTCGCGGTAGGGAGGACCATGATTCATTAGCATTGTTTAACTATGGCAGTGCCCCCTGCCAAAATCCAAAACCACGTTCTAGGGCCAGGGATTTAGCTCAGTGGTTCCGCTGCCTGCTTCGCAAGCACGAGGTACCGAGTTCAATCCTCTGTACTAAAAACAAAAAAAAATTTTAAACACATTTTAGAATAGTTATAACGTCACAGGGGCACGTTCCTGGTAATAGGGTGCGTGACAAAGACCCGCAAGAGAACGGCGTGTGTGGTGGGATCCTGTGTCTGTGCAGCTCTGCACTGAAGATTCACGCATTCTCCCCGTTTGCCAACTATCGCCCAGGCAGCCAGTTTCACCTCGCCTGCAGGTCGTGAGTTTTGTGGGCCACCTGCTTCTTGATTTTCAGCAGGGCTTTTGGGTTACTGCAGGGTCTGCTGGATCGTGCGTCTCCTGAGGATGTGGAGATGGACCTGGGTGACCTAGAAGGAACCTCAGCTAAGGTACTGGACATTCAGTGCGACATTTTATGGAAATAACTCTTGATGGTGTTCACCTGTGGCTGGGAGCATTTGCAGCAATTTCGTTTTCCTTGTTTGTGATCTTTATTGTCTAAATATCCTAAGACAGTGTGTATTTTATAATTCATAGTCAGGAAAAAATGAATTTTGAAGTAGGGATTTGCAGCCCAGCGAGAAACGATGATATATTTCCCTTCTTCCAACTAAGGAAGTTTTAATGAAAATTCAAAATGTAGCGGATGTGGGGCCGGGCCTGTAGCTTTAATGGTAGAGTGCTCGCCTGCATGTTCAAGGTCTTGGGTTTGATCCCCAGCACCAAAAAAGAAAATGAAGAATGTATAAAATGCATACATAAACGATTAGAAGTAAACACGATAAGGTCTTTGCTGTGGTTTTCCTGCATAGCAGGAGGATGTATGGCGCGCGTTTTCTGCTTTGCAGTTCTTAGCGTATCTAATGCAAACACATTATGCTTTGTCTGCCTCCAAGTGTGTGTGTGTGTGTGTGTGTGTGTGTGTGTGTGTGGTGTGCATGTGTGTGAATAGGAATTCTAAGAGCTGTTGGGTGCCCTGGGAGGGAATGGTAGCCACACCGGGCTTTGAAGAAAGGGTTTTCTTTCCATTTCCTCCACGGTATTATCATTCTAACAAGAGACTCTTGAGACGCATCTCGTGGTATAGTCATGGCCGCCTTAGAAAATAGAAGATATTGACGGTGGAAGTAACAAGGAGCAAGGAAGGCTGGGCCTCAGGTTAAAAGGCTTTAATCAAGTGCACAAGGATTTCTCTGAGCCCTACATTACACAAAGTAACACTGGCGCCTGGGTGTTTGTGCCAGGAAGGTTAGTACAGAGGAGACGAAAGTGTTGGGCAAGGAGGAAGACGCCTGCTCATTAATGTTGAAATAAACCCAGGGGACAGTCTGTTGTCTCTCACCAGGGACCGGAGCATGCTTAGAAGAGGGAGAAGGTAAGAGTTCATGGCCCACTGTACAGCGGAGGCAGCTTGCTCTGTTCCATTCATGACCCCTGTCTCTGATGCAAAGATGCCAACACGCAGTGTTTCCACATTTCCACAAGAAAACGTGCGGGGTGTGGCGGCACACGCCTGTAGTTCCAGCACTTGGGAAGCTGAGGCAGGAGGATGCCTTGAGTTTAAGGCCCACCTAGGCTACATAGTGAGTTTAAGGCAAGCCTGGATTACATAGCAAGACCCCTGTCTCAAAAAAAAAAAAAAGACTGCCCTAGAAGATGAAAAACACTATAGCTAACTGGGAAGAGCAAATAGCTTGGTATTTTGTTTTTGTTTTTGTTTTCCTTTTGTTTTTGGTACCAGGGATTGAACTCAAAACCTTGCGAGGCAGGTGGCGGCACCACTGAGCTAAATCCCCAGCACAGCTTGTTCTTTACTGTAGAAATTGAAGGGTTTAAAAAATTATACAGGGGCCAGGGATTTAGCTCAGGTGCTGCCGCCTACCTCACATGGTCTCAAGTTCAGTCCCCAGTACCAAAAATATTACACAGAATAAACCAGAATTTTTTTATTCTTATTACCATGCAGCAGACAGGTACAGCACGTAGGTAGCAGAGGAATAAATACCAAGACCTCAAGCAAAAACCTTCTGAACTGAAACAGTCACCCACGTCACGTCTGTCCCACACGTCACCATGGTAATCCCTGGAACGCTGGCTCTGTACCTGCGGGCAGTCACCACGTTTCCCTTAACGCTGGTCTCCACGTCTCGGAGGTGCCCTCGGTGGATCTCTCTAGCATCTTGAATTGAGGCGGAATGTGGGCGAGACAGGGGCAGAGCACAGGAGGAAGCACAGACCCAGGAGAGGCCCAGCGTGGCTAATGCCACCGTCTGTAGCTTTGCCACATACGTCATTAGTAAACCTCGGCGAGGTGGCCGCTCCCTTGCCTATATAGAGATGGGCAAATATCCTCTGTTGGGATGATATTCAGTGTAATTTTAAACGGAGAAATATGATACCTAGATTGTCTTTTCCAGTAAGACCCGGGAGGTAGGGGAGACAGAAGGGGAAGAAGCCCATTTAAACAGACAGGTGTTTTTCAAGTTTTGACAAAGCCACGTTCTGTCTGTCTCTCATGCAACAGGAATATAAGGTCTGTGACTGCTTACGGGCTTCACCCTTCATTTGTACAGGGCCCGGGATTCGCTTGTCATATACATTAGCGACCATTCCCTGGGACGGAGCAGCTGATCCGTGTACCCAACTTCCAGCCAGTGCCAGTGCCAGCTGGGGCCCCTCCACCCTCTCCTGTCTTCTGGCTTTGCTTGGTGGGTGACATGCCTTTGATTTCCAACAAGGCATTTGCTTTCCACAGGATGTGCCAAAGAAGACCGAGGAATTCCAAGGGTCCCCAGCAGAACTCCAGCAAGCTTTGGCAGTGATAGAAGATTTAATCAAGTCTTGCGAGTTGGCTGTGGACCTTGCTGCTGTCTCTGGATGTCCGGTATGTCTCCTAGCAAGTGTTGGAAGAATTCGCATCAAGGGCAGGCACGGTGTTAGAAAGGCAGGAGAAAGCGTCTGCGCCTAAGGAGTCAGGCTCTGCGCAGAGTCACCTCGATGAGTCTGCCAGTTCATGCTCCAAGACTCTGATCAATGTGTTCAGGAATCTTGGGACCAGGGGCCAGGGATTCAGCTCAGTGGTACCGTGCTTGCTTCACAAGCGTTAAGGTCCTGAGTTCAATCCCCAGGACCAAAAAAACAAGAACAGCATCTACCGATGTGCTAGACATTGAAAGTAATAGAAATCTTGGGACCTGAATGTCAGGTTGACTCACTCTTGGACCACCCAGGAACTCAGGAGCCATAACCCATACAGAGGGGAAGTCCTGAAGGAGTGATTTATTTGCTAACTGAGGCCGATACCGGTGTACCACCAGGTTTGTGTCACGTGCAGACAGAGGATGAAGCCACAGACTCAGGTGGTGGGGTGCAATCAAACTTATTAAGGACGTAGAGCTCCCGCTAGCTGAGCGGGGATCCTGCACAGGCTGCCCAAAACGGTGCTTTGTCTAGCAGTTTTGTTTTTGTGGTACCGGGGACCAAAGTCGGGTCCTTGTGCTTGCAAGGCAGTGGAACTCAGTGGAACCACTGAGCCAAATCCCTGGCCCTTGTCCAGCAGTTTTTAAAGGTTTCGACGGGAGCTTGAGCACTGTGGAAACAACGTGGTCCCCTCCTTGTAGGAGACTGGGTATACATTTTAGGGTCTAATCTGCGTAGCGTTCGTGCAGTGCCCACGTAGGGTCCGCGTGCCCTTGAGTCCGTGGCCTGTCTGACTGTGACAGCTCAAGGACACCTGGCAGATGTTCCTGTAAGGTCCCTGGAGGAGGGTCAGGTCTCTATGTTGGGCTTCCTGGCTCCATTCAGGGGCTGCTGTCCTTTTCGCCTAAGAGAATCTTAACTCTTGTTTCATTCATTTTTGTTATATTTTCCCCTCGGAAGAGGTGGTCCTCACTGCCCTTAGGGAAAAGAGTGAGGACCTCATAGCTGCTCCGTGCTGCCCCAGAGTGGCAAGTGGGGAGCAGCAGTGGGGGGCGTCCTCCAGGGCTCCTCTGATGGCCGGGACAGAAGCCAGGTGGGCTCTTATGGCGGGTTTTATTCATGTGACTCTGGGAAGTTTAACAGCCTCTAGGCAAGAGGAAATAAAGCAAGCAAGGAGATTTAGTGAACAGGATGTAAAAACAGAGGAGTAGCAAGAGCGTCAGCACTGGTGTGGAAGGGTCCTTTCAGGGTTTAGCTCCTCCTCGTGGGATCTGGAGGGATCTTTGGGTCCTAGACTGGGTGGGAGACCGTTTAGGGAGGGCCCAGATTAGAGATGGGCCTAGATATCGGGAAGGCGGATTGGCTAAAGGACTGGGTGTCGGGGAGGGCGCTGACCACAGTATATATTTTCCCCATTAGAAGGGCAGAATGTAGCCGGGCATGGTGGCGCACACCTGCAATCCCAGCACTCGGGAGGCTGAGGCAGGAGGATCGCTGTGAGTTCCAGACCAGCCTGGGCTACATAGTGAGTTCCAGGTCAGTCTCAACTAAGTGAGACCTTGTCTCAAAAAAACCAAAAAAAAAAGAAAAAGAAAAAAAAGATTGATGTTATTTTCTCTTGGAGAGGAAACTAACAAAGTATTGCATGCAAAAAATAAAAATAAATAAATAGATAAAAACTACCAATAGCATTTGTTCATGCGGTAAATATGAAGTCCCACTTCTGCAGGTTTCCTGAACTAAAACACATTTCCTGCACTGCTAATACTGAGATGTTGAGTGCAAATTAAATGGATTTAAAAGCAAAAGTGACGGCTGAGGCCCCGGGTGATGCATGGGAGTGGGCCCTTGCAGGGCAGACAGAATGAGAACCCCAGGGTCCTCACGAGGGCCCCCCTCACCCCCTACCTTGGGACAGGGTCAGACTAGGGCCCAGTAACACAACAGAAACGGGGCTTGTGGGGAAGCGGGCTCAGAGCTGTGGGCTGTGTGTCCCTCAGTGACACACATGTACATCTCACAAAGCAAAAAGAGAAAATTAACCCAGAAAATAGACCACAAGCACTGTAGAGATGATTAGGACATGTTGCTATTGTTGTTTGTAGTCTAGAATTTCAGAAGTACACTCAATTATTCTTAAAAAGACATTGAGTTTGTTCAACGTATAAATAATAAACCACAAAAGGAACCAGTTATTACAATATTGTAATATATTGTATTATTGTATTACAATATATTGTATTATTGTAATAATGTAATATATCTATTAAAATAGATTTCTAGTATTTTACTCTCAGAAATCACAGGTGTTTTTCTCCTTTGGGTGATTTATTCATGGCAATAAATTCTTGACTATCTGCTTTAAGTGACCTAGTTCTTTCAAGCATATCAGATGAAACACTGTGCTTTTGATCAGTGTCCCTGCAGAGAGCATGAGAGCAGGCAGGGTCCTCTCTCCGGGCCACAGCAGACTCGGGGAAGGGACGGCTGGCTGTGTGCTTAGAACCGAGAAGCTGTTCTTTTAAAGCTGTCATTTGGTGTTGGTTTTTCACTGTATACTCACTGTGAAAAACAGAGTTAACCCTAACTACCCTATCTCTTTCTAAATCTCCTGTTCTCAGGTTCTCATCTACCCGAAGCCCATGTTAGGATAAGGACGGAACACAGATTATCATAGGTCCAGACTGCAGGAAAACTGACTCCTCTGAACATAATTTTAAAAGTTCATTTCTTGCCTTTTAAAATAGCCTATCTGGTATTGAGAGCAAAAATTTTAAAAAATAAAAAAATTAAGAAAACAGAATTCTGCTAACTCAACAGCATTGGGTGGGGGATTTAGCTCAGGGGTTCTGCCTCCTGCCTTGCAAGCACAAGGGCCTGAGTTTGATCCCCGGTACCAAAAAATTTAAAAATGTAAAAATAAAAATAAACTGTGTTATAAGACAAAAGTACCAATCCCCTTTTCTTTTGGTTTCATTTTGTTTTGTTTCTTTGAACCAGAGTATCATTAAATTACCCAGGCTGGCTTCAAACTCACAGTCCTCCTGCCTCAGCCTCCAGAGTGCTGGGATTATAGCCACGTACTGCCACTACTTCCAGTACGTCTAGTACCCTGATGTCGGTTCCCTCACACAGCTGCACTTATTTCCTTACATAGTCGAAGAGGCCCCCGATCTTCCAGTTTTGATGGAGTGACCTTAGCCAAAGTAGCTCTTATAGAATAATCTCCAGCAAGTGAGCTTCACAGTTTGGAAACCGACCGCTAGGTCCTTCCCAGCTGGTGATTTATCGGCTTCTTTCTTTATGTATCTGTGTTTCCAAAAGGATGACCTGGAAAAGCTGGGCAGGCTGTTGCTGCACGGCCCATTCAGCGTGTGGACGATTCACAAGGACCGTCACAAAGTGAAGGATTTTATTAGATTTAAGCCCAGCCAAAGGCAAATCTATCTATTTGAACAGGGAATTGTGTTCTGTAAGATTCAAGTGGAGCCTGGAGACCAAGGGTTATCTCCTCACTACAGCTTTAAGAAGTCTCTGAAGGTAAGGGGGCTGCTGTACCTGGGAGTCTCCACAGCCACTCTGTGGGCAATTTGTTTTGTGGGGTTTTTTTTGTTGTTTTTTTTTTTTTTTTTTTTTTTTTTTTTTTTTTTAAATTTTTGAGACAGGATCTCACTATGTAGTTGAGTCTGACCTGGAACTCATTATGTAGCCCAAGCTGGTCTGGAACTCACAGCGATCCTCCTGCCTCAGCCTCCCGAGTGCTGGGATTACAGGCATGCACCACCACGCCCGGCTGTAAAGGCAAGGAGTTTTTTTTGGGGGGGGTGGATACCGAGAGGATCGAACTCAGGTCCTTGCACTTGCAAGGCAGGTGGCGGAACTGCTGAGCTAAATCCCCGGCCCCACTCTGTGGGTGAGAAGATTGTTATTTTTATTTTGCAGAGGAGGAAGCCAGAACTTAGGTGAAATTAATCTGCCAAATATTTCACAACAGAGCTAGAATACACATCCAGGCTGGGTGGACCCAAACTCGGGTCTGTAGTCAATCCCTGCACAGGGCCACCGCTGGCATCGGGGGCCTTTGTGCTGAGGGGAGAAAGAGGACCCCGCGGTAACCCTTCTGGACAAACTAGTAAAGACCCTCTCTCCTCCAGGCAAAGGGGGAAAGGTTTAGGTGATTAGAGCCCAAGCTAGATTTCACCTTAGACTTACCCTTCTCAGCTGCACCCTTCCCAACTTGGGTGATGCTTCTTTTTTTATTAGTGCATATTTTTAAACTTGTAAAATTGTTATTAGGGCCGAAGGTTTAGCTCAGTGGTTCCACCACCTGCCTTACAAGCACAAGGACCTGAGTTCGATCCCCGGTATCAGTAAATGAATAAATAAATAAAGTTATTGGTCCATTTTGCAGCACATAATGATTACATCCATCTTGGGGAGTGGGGCATGCACACAACTCATCTTATTTCTTTTTACCTCCCCTTTCCCTCTCTTCTCTCCCCCTCCCTCTGTCCCCTTCCCATTTACAAAAGATCTGTTTCCCTGGTGCTTATTATCTCTTTTATTTTGCTCTTTTAATGTTTTATTCAACTGCAGGCCTTTATGTGTGAGGTAGGCAGCATCCTGACCGTGACCCTGCGGCTCCACAAACCCATGTCCACACCTGTCTCTCCCCGAATAGGAAATGCTCCCTAGCCAGCTTGCTCACACACGCACACACACGCACACGCACACGCACGCGCTCTTGTGGTTGCGACTATTGATGCATTTGGCTGTGTTCGCTTGTGTATCTCAGCAGACGTTCATTCACTTACCGTTAGGGAAGGGAGGCAGAAGAGACTATGAAGGGTTAGCAAGGACGAGAGCGGCTGACAGACAGCTGTGACATCAGCAGATGGTGGCGCAGAGCGTTTCTCTTCTTTCTTTGCAATAGTTGGTGACCCTTTCAATTCACCGACTTGGAAGGGGGAGCAATAAAAAGTTTGAAATCGCCAGCCGAAATGGACTCGAGAAATACATCCTGCAGGTAAAGCCCACGCTGCCCCCTTTGGTGTCCCCTCCTCGTCCCCCGTTGTGTCCGCGTGACTCGACGAGGAAGTGCTGTCTCGCTGCTCTGAGGGTCACGCGGAGAGTAAAAGCCTCGGCCAACTGATAGTACTCAAGATGACACGATTCTCATAACATTTCCTTATCTGTAACTGCAGGCACCTTCCAAAGAAATCAGAGATTGCTGGTTTTCAGCGATAAGTAAATTGTTGGTGGAACAAAACAACATTAAAGGTAGGTCACTGCTGCTGACTTCAGTCCGAAAAGTTACACTGGTTTCAGTTTCATAGTGGGTGCATGTGCCGGAGGTGTGTTAAAGAATAGTTTGCCAGGAAAATTAACTGTGTCACAATTTCCATGGCCCCCAGAAGCACCTGTGCTTGCTTTAGATGGAGTGGGTGGGTGCGGGTGTGCGTGTGTCCGAGTGGCGGTACGTGGCTGTGCTGGTCTGCGCGTTTCAGTCGTATCCCCTACAACCCTAATTGCCAAGGTCGGCTTCTCAATCAGAACTCCAGCGCGTCCAAGAAAATGTGAACAGACATGGCAGATGCCCAACATTCTCTTTCAGAAGCTGACATCGTCTTCTCACACGCTGAGATGTCACACAACGTAAAATTCATTCTCGTGAAGTGTACGGTTCAGCGGGTTTTCACCTCCTCACAAAGTTGTACCGTCGTCACCGACCTAATTCTGCTTCCAAATCTGGAACCATCTCGCGCTCCCCCTAAGAGTCCCGTACCAGTCAGCCGATGTCCTCACCTCCCCCTCTCTCTCTCTAGCGACCACGGTGCTCGCTTTTGCCTCCACTGGATTTACTTATTCTGGACATTTTATGGAAATGGGATCTGGTAAAATGTTCTTTCTATCTAACGCCTTCACTTAGCGTAATTCCTTTTCTGTTTGGTACCAGGCATGGAACTCAGGCCCTTGCGCTCACAAGGCAGGCGCCGGAACCACTGATCACTTAGCACGGTTTTTCAGGTGCCGCCCTTGTCTCGCACCCCTCTTACGGTACATTGCCGTCCGGTGCACAGACCATCGCTTTGCTCCATTTGGAGCTGCTGTCGTAGGACGCCGGAGGCTGAGCGACGTACTGGCTCCCAGCTCCGGCGCCCGGGAGGCCCTCGGTCAGGGGGCTGCACCGACTGAGGTCTTCTCCGCACCGGCTCACGGAAGAAGGGAGAAGAGGAAGGGAGGAAAGAGAGAGGGCGAGCGCTGCTCACACGCGTGGGCCGCGAGAAGGCGCCCGCTCCCGGGAGAGCAAAGCTGCTCCCACGGCGACTGCGGCCAGACAGCTGCCCTTGGTGATCAGGTTTCCAGCGCCAACCCTGGAGGACATATTCAAGTTAGGGGCTGGGGATTTAGGGCAGTGGCTCTGCCTCCTGCTGCACAAGCACAGGGCCTGAGTTCCATCCTGGTACCAAAAAAACAAAAGGATATATTCAAATTAGAGAATCCAGATTTGTTGACTCATTCATGGATGGACGAACATTTGGATTGGTTCCGTTTTGGGGATATTGCAAATCATGGTGCTGTGCATATCTGCATCCAGGTTTTTGCGTGAACCTTTAGCCCTACACTTGATCTTAGCCAAAAGGCCGAGAAGCGATGTGAATTATTTCTAATTTCCTTGGGTATGAAGCGGAGTTGCTGGACCCTGTGGTAACTCTGGCTAATGTCCCGAGGAACATCTAAATTGTTTTCCAAAGCAGTAGCGCCTTCTCAACTTCACGTCAGCAGCGTACGGGGTGCGGTTGCTCCACTTCCCCCCCGACCCTTGTCATTGTCTTATTATTGATATTATTACTCATTGCCACCCCAGAAGGCGTGAGGTGACGCCTCACCACAGTGTAGGCCTGCATCCCTTCGTGACCAGCAACGCTGAGCCCTTCTCATAATTGGAAAGATGTCAGAAGCCCTTTGCATTTGTTTAATTTTTCTTTTTTTTATTAGTACATGTTTGTAGTACATAATGATTATAATCGTCATGGGGAGCTGGTACATGTACATAAATTAGCGTGTCTTTTATGGTTGACTTGTAAGGGTTATTTATATATTCTGAATACTAGAACTCTTGTCAAATCTAATTTGCAAGTATTTTTTCCCAATTCGTGCACTGTTCTCACTTTCTTGATACTATCCTTTGAAACACACAAGTTTTTATTTTAACAGAGTCCATTGTCCATTTTTTTTCATTTGGTTTCTTGTGCTTTGGATATCTAAAAAACCCGCACGCCTGTAATCCCAGCACTTGGGAGGCTGAGGCAGGAGGATCGCTGTGAGTTCGAGACCAGCCTGGGCTACATAGTGAGTTCCAGTTCAGTCTCAATTATAGTGAGACCCTGTCTCAAAAAACAAACAAACAAATAAAAAACCGTTGCCTCACTGCCTGCCTCCCAAGCACAAGGTCCCGAGTTCAATCCCCAGTATGAAAAATAAAAATAAAAATAAAAAAACGTTGCCTGATCCAAGGTCATGAAGATTTACAATCATACTTTCTTCTGATACTATATAGCGTTAACTTTTATAATTAGACCTTTGATGCATTTTGACTTGATTCTTGAAGGCTGTTGTAGATTGTTGGTTTCCAAGGCTGCCCCCTAAAAAGGAGGAGAGGTTGGGAACAGGACAAGTTAAAATACCACAAAATTCACTGCTGACCCTGATAGTAAGCCATTTTTCATGAATAAATGCGGTCCAAATTGCTGTCAGCCTTTGTTTAATTTCTGGTGTTTTGAGAGAGAAAAAATTGTTTCTGACGATTTTCCCATGCTTTCACGAAAAAGAGATTTTTTAACGTGTCTTTTTCTCCACCATTTCCATTGATGTCCTTCACTTTTAATAATGAAGTTATCTTTGAATAGGTTTTCCTCTTTTACATTTAGTGTTGTTGTTTTTTCAGTTGATCCTCCACTAATAATCCTTAAACTTCCTCTTTTTTACCCTTCAAAAGACTCTCTCAAAAGCTCTCGCTAATGGGATACATTCTGGATTCTGTGCCCCCTGAATTGCAATTCTAAGACCCCAGATAAATGACTTTTTGCTTAACCGATTAGATTGTCTGAGCCTCTTTAGATGACGGCATCGTGCTTTTAGTGTCATATCTAATGTCTCTTTGTCTAAAGGCCACAAACATTATCTTCTGGAAGTTTTATGGTTTAGGTTTTGAATTTGGGTCTTTAATCTATTTTGAGGGCTTTTGCTTCTGTTTCTGTTTTTGTTTTGTACATGGTGTGAAATGTGGATTGAAAGTCAGGTTTTCTTCCACACTGATGTCTTGTTGGCCCATTACCATCTGCTCAAAGACTATTCTTTCTCCAATTGCCAATATATATAAGTGCATCTATTTCTCAAAAGTCCTGTTCTGTTCCATTGATCTGTGGTCTGTCTTGACATTGATACCTCACTGTCTTGATTACTATAGCTTAATGGTCTTAAAATAAGGTCAGTAGAGTCCTCCAATCTTGTTCTTCCTTTTTAAATTGTTTCATTCCTCTCTGCCCTTCACATTCTCATATACAGTTGTCCTTTGGTGTCTCTGAGGATGGGCTCCAGGACTCCCCACAGATACTAAAATGCATGCGTGGCCGTCCTTTGTATAAAGTGGCCGTTGTATTGCATTTAACCCGGGACCCTTTCTTTCTTGCAGTGCTAGAGATGGAGGCCAGGGCCTCATGCATGGCAGGCATTGCACCGCCCCCTGGAGTTACCTCCCAGCCCGCACATATCCACTTGTATGTTTTACATCATCTCTAGATGACCTGCAATACCTAATACAGTATACACACTATGTAAATAGTTTTTATACTAAATTGTTTAGGAGATAATAACAAGAAAAAATCGATATGTACAGTTGCAGGTTTTTCCCAAATATTTTCCGCTTGCAGTTGGCTAAATGCATAGTTACAAGACACAGAGGGCCAACTATGTATTTTAGAATAAGCTTATCAATTTCTTTTGTTGTTGTTGTTTTGTTTGTTTGCTTGTTTGTTTGGGGACCAGGGAATCAAACTCTGTTCCTTGCGCTTGTGAAGCAGGCATCAGAACCACTGAGCTAAATCCCCCCGCCCTAAGCTTATCAATTTCTGAAGAAAAAACAAAGCTTGTTGGAGATTTGATTGGACTTGCATAAGATCTATACACCAACTTGGTAACCTATACTCTTTTACAATAACAAGTTTTTTAGAACATCAATTGACTTTTTTACAATACCAAATTTAAACCAGGTGGAGTGGTGCACACCTGTAATCCTACCACTTAGGAGGCTGAGGCCGGAGGATCACCACAAGTTTGAGGTCAGCCTGGACTATATAGTGAGTTCAAGACCACCCTGAACTACATAGTGAGACCCTGTCTGGTGAAAGGAGGCAAATTGAAATTTTAACTGAATCTCCCTGACCTGAGCTGTGGATAAAGACGCGCATTTGCTGGGAGGGTGTGGCATGTATTCAGCTGACTCTTCAGAAACGGTATCCAAGCCCTCCGCGAGGCCTCACACCATGATCTCTCGGTTGTAAGCGGGGTGTAAAATCCATATAAGAAGCAGAACCAGACCCTGGCATACAGCTTAGATTAAAAAAGAACAACCTTACTGAACAGGAAGACAGGCCCGCGGGCTCCCTAACTCTTTCCTTTTGCAGATACTCAGATAGGGTCAATTCCTCCCCATTTATCACAGCAAAGTCAGTTCCCTGAGTCTGGTGCCCCAAGCAGATTCTGGTAAAACACGACCATGAATGATGCAAACAGCCGGGGCTGTAAGGACTCGGAGCCCGCAGTGGGCTGTGTGAGCACGCCGGGCCGTCCCCCTGGGGAGACTCGGGTGTCCTAGAAGTGGGGCCGTGGTTCCCAGGTGCCAAGAACAGGAATGTCAGGGACACCAGCCCCTGACGTCTGTCCACCACTTTACAAAGCTCTGACATGAATATTTTCACCCCGGTTCATTCTTACGCCACCCTCCTCCACCTTTCCACTGGGGGTGTCGGGCGGAATATTCCACACGCTGGACAAGTGCCAGAAAGGGACATGGGTGAGAAGGACGCTGGAAGCCGAGATGTGTGGAGACCAAAGGGGTGAGGTACCCAGAGGGTCTGAGGGGAAAAGAGAACAGGAAAGTAACGGAAAAGTGGAACACAGCGCCTCCCCGAGGAGAGAAGTGGACACTGCGGCCCTGAACGCATGCTGCTGCGAGGCCCTGGAGAAGCATCTGGCCGACCAGGGAAGGGCCCTGGGGCCCCCGCAGTGTCACAAAGGGGGCGCCCTGGATAAGAATCGGGACAAGGGCCCAGTCCTGGCCCAAATCAAGGCTTGGTCCCGCCACTGGGGCAGCACAACCAGTCACCTGGGCAGTAAAAGGAGGCCCAGGGACCGCTGAATATAGCAAGGCTGCATCGCATGAGCAGATTCTGCGGTGATGTGGAGCCCAGAAGAGAGATCCGTGAGGAGTGGGAAGAAGTAAACGGAGGGAGGGAGGCCTCAGGTGCCAGACTGGGCCTGGTTTCTGCGCTGGTGCAGGGAACGAGGAGCCGCAGGAGTTGGTCCTGCTCCGATGCCTGGGTGACACCTGGGTCAGGGATGTGACTGTGGGCCCTGCCCGGGAAGTCATCAACTGCCCCTCACCTTGTCGGAGTTGGGCGTTTAACAGGCAGTGTGTTTGTCCCTTAATTCCGTGCTGACAGAGCTGTCGAGACCGGCTGGACCCAGAGTCCAGGCGCGCAGGGATCCCAGAGTGCAAGCAGGAGCAGCCAGACAGGCTACCTGAGAGGCTGGGCTGGGTGGGCGGTGGGGACTTCTGAACTACTAGCAAATAGGATCGGCACATTTCCGTATGTTTTTATGGTGTTCTCTTTGTATGGGTGTGCGAATCTGTGTAAGACCAATTCAAGTTAGCTGAAATGTGACAGCACTGTTTTATTTTATTTCAGACCAAGAAAATCTACAGTTTGAGGCAACCATTGCGTGAGTACTGATTTTATTTTTTGTTTTTATTGTTAAGAAAAAAAAAGATTGAACGCTGATCTTACATGATTGTTTTTATAGATTTTTTTCAACACTTAGCTTATTATAAGTGACTTCCAATTTTTAACAAAATATCAGTTCACTGACCGCGCTGCCAGACTGGATTTTCCTCTCCTCGCACTTGTTTGTGGTGAGGTGAAACCTCCCTTAGTTGCTCTTGCGTCTGGCTTTCTTTCCTTTTCTTTTTCCCCTTCTTTTCTCTTCTCTAGCTTTCATATGAGAACCTCCAGTTCCACGCCTGCCTCGGGGGCCGTGCTGCCCTCCCCTCCCTGAGCAGGCAGATGCCCTCTCTGACGTCAGCTCCTTCGCCTCCCTCCCCACTCAGAACTCTCTGATGTCCCTGCGCCCGCTCCCCTCCCCCTCGTCCGGGAGGAAGATGCGCTCACACTCCCTCCACGGTTCAGTCCTCTGTGGTGCTTCCGGCCCTGTCCATGTCTGCCACTTACAGACTCTCTCTGTCCATCCCTCTCCCTGTCCAGGGCACCCAGTATGGTGTATGGAATGACCCGGTAGATTCTGACCCAGTTCGGGCACAGGAGTCACTTAGATTTTCTAGGCTCACCTGGCCTGATCCTAATGGAGACTCCCAGTCCTAACCCAGAGGGAGGACAGTGGCGGGGGAGAGTTTCCCTCCCTCCTCTTCCCACCCGCCCTACTACGCGGTTTCACAGGCTGCGTGCCAGTTGTATGTGCTTAAGCTTCTCTCCCTACTAGACCTTGAGTTCCGGGAGTTTGTCTTACTAGTTATCGCTTTCCTTGGGCCTCAGATAGAAGGGCCTGGAACTTGTACAGGAGCTCAGGTAAATGTTTAGAGAATTAAGAAACGAAAGAACTCATTGACTAATCAAACACGGCTAGCACACTAAGTCAGGAGGCGATAGGTTTCATTCAGCACAGCTCATTCGTCTTGGACCTTATTGCTTGAACTAATCCAATCCAAACATCTTGGTACAATTAGATAAGGCCAGGAGAGGGTAACTCGGGTCAACAGAGAGGAGAAGGGAGGCGCCTTGAGTCTGTAAGATGGATTTTGAGAAGACACAGACGCATTTAAAATGTGTAGGCAGTTACCCATCCACGGTCTAATCCAGCAGGTGGGCGTCCTCTGAACACTGCCTTACAGAGGTGGGACAGGGCCTAGACCGCAGGCCAGGGAAGACAGAGAAGCTGACCCTTGAGACTTCAGGCAAGAGATGAGCTGTGTGAGCCAGCGCTGTGCTAGCCGGAGAGGGAGGGAGGCAGCACGCGCCATTCCTTCCAAGCACTCAGCGCCCGTGTGTGTTTCTCTAAAGCAAAGGCAGTGCAGTGGATTGTGCTCCCTGGAGTACGGAAAGAGCTACGAGCACGGAAGACCCAGTCTCCAACACGCGTGGGATTCAAGGTAGGATCCAAAGGAGGATGGTCCCAGAAGCGGGGTGGGGGTGACACTTGCTGCTTAGATGCTGAAGAAGTCGCCGGAGTCCCAGCCCTCCCTTCATAGTAAGAGGGGAAAGCTAGAAATGTTTAACCATCCTCGTGGTCCATTTCCAGCTGCTCATTTGTGTGGCTCTCATTAGGCCAGGACCCTCACACTGAGAAATAGCTTTCTTTTTGGAAGAGCCGTTCCGGTAAGAACAGTGGTTAGCGGGAGAAGAGCTTGGCTAGAAGGTCTGTTTTACACACGTCACCCCGGATGCGGCGCTTTATCTCTCACTCTCCCCCCAGTTTACGGCTTTTACCTCCTCCTCAAACTTTGCATGGAAAGGTTAAGAATTCTTACCCATGAGATTTCAGCTCTAACCTCTTTGTACATTGATTTCCTACAGGCAGAATTGAGTGGGGAGAATTTAAAGAAAAGCGGATGTAGGCTCACTTTTATAGTTCAAATTTGAATAACATCATAGATTTTACTTTCACGGGATTCTAAATCCACTATTTTTGGGCCAGGGATTTAGCTCAGTGGTTCTGCCGCTTGCCTCACAAGCCAAGGTTCAGAGTTTGATCCCCTGGTACCAAAAACAAACAAACAAACATGCTATTTTTGTCATCACCTTTTTAAACCATTTAAACTAAAGATAACCGCCCAAAAGGAAAACCTTCTACTCTGTGCTCTTGCCACTGTCCATAATAAACACCTTGGGAATTTAGTATTTGAAGTTCTGGCCTTTGGAATATGTCTTAGTCCACTCAGGTTGCCGTAAACAAAGTGTCATAGACTGAGTGGCCTAAATAACAGAAACTGATTTTCCCAGGGCTGGCAGCGGGAAGTGTGAGACCAGGGAGTCAGTCTGACTGGGCGCTGGGGAGGGACCTCTCTGCCCCGGGGGCTGCCTTCTCACTGTGCCGTCACACAAGTCCCACTTTCCGGGGCCAGCGACAGAGACGCAGCTCTCTGATGTCCCTTTACATGGGGCACCAATCCCATCAGGCCATCCAATCTGACCTCATCTAACCTTATTACTTGCGGAAGGTTTCATCTCCAAGTACCATGGGGGGACACAGCGGGGCATTGAGATGGATGGCGCAGTGCGTGCGGTGTAGCTCCAGGCACAGACTTCACTTGGCAAAGTCCTCTGGAAACAGTTTTACTGCATTTCTTCAGCACCTAAATAATGCAAAACACACACACACACATGCACGTGCAGCCCCTTTCCATGCCCATGCATCCCAGCCAAAGATGACCAGTGTGGACTTTCTTCTTCAGGCTTCTGGACCCTTGGCTGTTAAAGAGCATTAATGGCAAATTAAACAAGAAGGTCGTACAGCGAAGAAATTAGATGTTCAGCCTTGGTCAGCAAGTTAATTACAGTATCATTGAAGAAGGCAGTGAGGGTTGGGGATTTAGCTCAGTGGTGCCGCCTCCTGCCTCGCAAACACAAGGACCCGGGTTCGATCCCCGGTACCAAAAATAAATAAATAAATAAAAAGAAGGCAGTGAATGGGCCAGGGATTTAGCTCAGTGGTTCTGCCACCTGATTCGGAGGTGTAAGAACTGGAGTTCGATCCTTGGTACCAAAAGAAAAAAAAAAGGCAGTGATTGTCAATTAAGGTGCATGTGTGAAAGTATTAAAAGTTTTTTTTTTGTTTTGTTTTCTGGGTTGGGTTTTTTTTTCTTTTTTTGGGGGGGGGTTCTTTTGAGACAGGATCTCACTATGTAGTTGAGACTGACCTGGAACTCACTGTGTAGCCCAGGCTGGTCTCCAACTCACAGCAATCCTCCTGCTTCAGCCTCCCGAGTGCTGGGATTACAGACACCACCACACCCGGCTAAAAGTTTTTATATTTAGAAAATGAAAAATCACCTATTTTCTTCTTAGTACAGATCAGAAAAAATAAAGCTTGAGAAAAATCCTGGCCAGTAGGGGCTCTCTGTAACATGATCCCTAGATCTTTTCATAAGGCCTGATCATCCATGGCAGTGGTGGCGAACCTATGGCACTCGCACTGCAACCAGCTGTTTGGTATCACTGAAAGCTCTAAAAGGTTCGCCATCCCTGTGCTATGGGCTGAGGCAGGATCTCTGGAAGGGGTGGAGTTTTTATGTTTGTTTTCCTGTGGAGATCCTGGGTTGGCCTGTGAAAAACACTTTTGAGAAAAGAAAATCAGATTTGTATCTGCTAAATAATGGGTATTATTCCTAATACAGTCTCAGATTTGCTATGATGATCTGATGAAATCATACTCTACCTTCCTCTATTTTGAAAAGTTCAAATGAAAGGTCGATTCCTGGTATTAAATTCTTCTTTCATCTGGTCCCAAGAGACTATGTGTTGGGACTTCTGTTCTCATCCTATTAGGCTGTTTATGTAACAGGTGATTTTTCAGGTTCTCAGTACTATTAAAAAATTGAGCCTACAAACTTTTGGCAAGTTAAACATATGTCATGCTTTTGAAATGTTTAACTGCTTGTTATTTTCCAAGAATCCCTTAAAGAAATATTTACAAGCTAGGTGTGGTAGCGCACACCTGTAATTCCAGCACTCAGGAAGCTGAGGCAGGAGGATCTCTGTGAAGTCAAGGTCTACATAGTGAGTTCAAGGCCAGCGTGAACTACACAGGGAGACCCTGTGTCAGGAGAGAGAAAGAAAGACTCATAAGATGAACTCTGATGACAGAAGGAACAACATTGGCAAAACCTACAAATTTTCCAATCACCAGGAAATATGAGCTAATTAATAAATTTATACTCCTCCTTTACCCAGGACATAAGGATGTGATTATCCAGGTGACTTTCATTCCTTCCTCTGTCTTTAGCCAGCTGATGCAGTGCTATCAGACCCAAGAGGCACGGGCTGAGCAAAAGGGGAGGCGTTCAGCGCAAGCATGGCTGTGGACTGTCCACGCGTGTTTGTGTGTGCGTCTGTCTGGGAACAGAGAGACGAAACAGCAGAAGGACTGGTGTCCCGCCCTTGCTGGAGCCTTGGAAACCAGTCAGCTCTTGAGAAGACTGGCTGACACCGTGAATATGTAACTCGGCTTTTAAATACCCCATGCTGGAGAGGGTGTGGAGAGAGGGGAACTGCCCTTCTTTGCTGATGGGAATGCGCAACTTCACAGCCTCTGTGGAGATGGTGTGACGGTTTCTTACAAAGCTCCAGACAGACGGTCTTGCCATGCAATTCAGCCAGCAGGCCCGGGTCTTTACCAAAATGCAAACTTGGGAACATCCTCACAGTGGGACATTGTTCAGTGACTTTAAAGTGAGCTGTCAAGCCGCAAGAAGACATGAAGAAACCTTAAATACACACTGTTAAATGAAAGAAGTCAATGTGGGTGTGGCACCTGTACTCCCAATACTCAGAAGCCTGAGGCAGGAGCATCACCACAAGTTCAAGGCCTGGCTGGGCTACTAGTGAGACCTTGTCTCAAAAAAAAAACAACAAAATCTTTCAAATTAGAAAGCAAATCACTCAGTTAAAAAAAAATTGGGGGCTGGGGATTTAGCCTGCCTCATAAGCAAGCCCAAGATCCCAAATTCAATCTCTGGTACCAAAAAAAAAATTTTTTTTAAATTTTTTTAATTTTTAATGGGCTGGCGATTTCAACAGACACCAAAGATACACTGGTGGCAAATGAGCCTTAAAAAGATGTTCCACATCAGATCATCAGAAATAAATAGAAATTAAAACTCTACTGGTCACCTACTGGATGGACCAAACCCCAGGACACTGAGGACCCCGGGTGCCAACACAGGCATGGAGAACAGGGCTGTCATTCTTTGCTGGTGAGAATGTAGAGCCTCTTCGGAAGGCGAGTTGATAGATAGTGTCTTACAAAACTGAGTATGAAAATTCTTTTTTTTTTTTTTGGTTTTTTGAGACGGGGTCTCACTATGTAGTTGAGACTGACCTGGAACTCACTATGTAGCCCAGGCTGGTCTGGAACTCACAGCATCCTCCTGCCTCAGCCTCCCGAGTGCTGGGATTACAGGCATGCGCCACCACGCCCAGCTAGGGTATGAAAATTCTTACCATACCATCCAGCATTCATGCTTGCTATCTCCCCAGAGGAGTTGAAGATTTATGTCCACAGCAGGAAAAAAAAACAACAACTATTCACAGATGTTTATGGCAGCTCTATTCATAATTGCCAAAACTTGGAAGCAACCAAATGTCCTTCAGTCGGTGAATGGCCGAATAAACTATGCTACATCCAGAAAGTGGACTACTGTTCAGCACAAAGCAAAGGAGCTCACAAGCCAGGGAGGCGTGTGGAAGAACTTTACCTATCATTCAATCTCTGAACCTTTCTCCCACCGCTGCTGTGAACCTAAAAGTGCTCTGTGAACAACCAGATCTGCCCAGAACTGCAAGTAAACCGCATTCATAGTAGGAGAGTAGCAAATGCTGCCAGGGAGTCAGGCCTTTCTGTCCCCAGACCCTCCACTTCTGTGACATCCACACTGCAGCGTTTTCCCAGGGACGTCAGCCACAAGCGTGCTGTCCCTGCTTCTCCCCAGCTGCCGTCCAGAGCTGCGGGAGAGCTCTTTCTCAGTAGGGCCTCGCACAGGCTGCTTCTGGGGAACCTGCCCACGACAGTACCGGAGCAGAATGCGGACGGCGGGATTCTAGTGCCCAGTCATGTGCTGGCCGCGGGGCCATGAGAGGCCCTTGTCTGGTGTCAGTGAGCGGGGGTCCTGGTCCCCAGCTGCTGCAGGAGCTCTGGAGGACAGGGACGCACCTGCAGACATGTGAGAGGGCAGGTGTTATCTCTCTAGGTGGTGGAAGCCGACCCTTGAGTCGCTAAGAGAGAGTGGCAGGCTCAGATTGGTCACCACCTTCCAGCCGGTGTGAGTCAGCGGCCGTCCCCGCTCCTCACCCCGAAGCAGGCAGCGGGTCTCAGCCGGTGCCTATGCCATGGGCTCAGCCATGGAGATGCGGTGGCAGCAGGATTGGAGCTGTG